TGGACAAAACCTCAATGTCCATTCCTCATTCTCACCAATCTGGTCCATTCCAAATGCTTTTTGAGGCCTGCATCTTTGGCAAGATGTTACCCAATGCAACCGTTTCCAGGTGTTTCCTCACACGCTTGGCAGTTATGTAGCATGTTTGGCAATGGCTCTTCCAAAATGCAAGATCTGCTCTTGGCTCATGGAGAGCTGGAGCTTCCACTCTGGAGCAACATTCTCAGCTTCATCCTTTGGGGAAAGATGAGGGAGAACACCTTGCCCTTCTATTCCCAATCCAGCTGCCCTGAATTTCAGGAAGTGAGGCTGAATATGTGTCTGAACATGTTTTTACACCAGGGCTGTGATGAGCACCTTTGAACCCATAATAATAATAATAATAATAATAATAATAATAATAATAATAATAATCCTTTATTTATACCCCGCTACCATCTCCCGCAGGACTCGGTGCGGCTTACAAGAGGCCAAGCCCAAAATACATCAAAACAAAAAACACAACCACAACAATACGATACAACAATAAATAACTCATAGCAAAGCAAAAACAATAGCAAAATATCATGACGCAATTTAAAAACCTGGCAGGGCCAAATGTAAAGATTTGACAAGGTGAAAAGGATGGATATTTTGGGGGGTAAGTGGGTGTGAAGACAATTCTAACTTTCTCGTAAAGTGCATTTGGGACATATTGCTTGGGGTTCCTTAATCTGGGAAGGCACACTGGAACATCCATGTTTTCAAGCTCCTTCTGAAGACTGCCAATGTTGGGGCATGCCTGATGTCCTTGGGGAGGGAGTTCCAGAGCCATGGGGCCACCACCAAGAAGGCCCTGTTCCTCATTGCCACCAATCATGCTTGCAATGTAGGTGGGATCATGAGCAGGGCCTCTCCAGATGAATGAAGAGATTGTGTGGGTTCATATACGGAAATGCGGTCATGCAGGTAGGTGGGTCCCAAACCGTTTAGGGCACCAATGTTCTTTAATACGAAGCAGTTTATTGTTCAATTATAAAGCACCTGGTAAAAGGTAAAATGCAATCAAAAGGAATATAAAAAGAAGTTCAAATAGCAACCCAAAAGCAGGTAAGATAAACTAGCAACGTTGTAGGTTTTTTTGGGCTATATTGCCATGTTCTAGAGGCATTCTCTCCTGATGTTTCACCTGCATCTATGGCAAGCATCCTCAGAGGTAGTGAGGTCCTGGAATGGTTCCATCAGCGCTACCTCCAAAAAATACTACAAATCGCTTGGGAAGACAGGCGGACAAATGTCAGCGTGCTGGAAGAAGCAAAGACCACCAGCATTGAAGCGATGGTCCTCCGCCATCAACTCCGCTGGACCGGCCACGTTTTCTGAATGCCCGACCACCCTCTCCCAAAGCAGTTGCTCTACTCTGAACTCAAGAATGGAAAATGGAATATTGGAGGACAGGAAAATAGATTCAAAGATGGGCTCAAAGCCAACCTTTAAAACTGTGGCATAGACACTGAGAGCTGGGAAGCCCTGGCCATTGAGCGCTCTAGCTGGAGGTCAGCTGTGACCAGCAGTGCTGTAGAATTTGAAGAGGCATGAATGGAGGGCAAAAGGGAGAAATGTACCAAGAGGAAGGCACATCATAGAATCATAGAATCATAGAATCAAAGAGTTGGAAGAGACCTCCTGGGCCATCATCCAGTCCAACCCCATTCTGCCAAGAAGTAGGAATATTGCATTCAAATCACCCCTGACAGATGGCCATCCAGCCTCTGTTTAAAAGCTTCCAAAGAAGGAGCCTCCACCACACTCCGGGGCAGAGAGTTCCACTGCTGAACAGCTCTCACAGTCACGAGAGCTCAAGTCACATCAAGCCAATCCCAATCGGGACCAGCTTCCACCTGGAAACTGATGCTGTCTCTGCGGGAGAAGATGCAGGTCAAGAATAGGACTCCGCAGCCACCTACGTACCCACCGCCAGGACACTGGACTTGGAGGACAATCTTACTCGGACAATGAGGGATTGCCTAAGTAAGTAAGTACCTCTTTGGTGTGGGAGGAGCTTCAGACACCGGACTCCATTTTGTATTGAGTTTGCATAAGACCTCTGTGGAGGTGGATGCATGTTGGTGTTTGGACTGTAGTAGAGAAGTATGACTATACTTAAAGACTATGGACAATTGATGAAGTATCATACACTGTGTACTCAACACAGAGAAGAAACTATATCTTATCTAACTGAACTCTAATCAGAAATGTGCCTGTATGGCGAATATATACAAGTTCAATGTATTGTCGAAGGCTTTCATGGCTGGAATCACTGGGTTGTTGTAGGTTTTTCCAGGCTATATGACCATGGTCTAGAGGCATTCTCTCCTGACGTTTCGCCTGCATCTATGGCAAGCATCCTCAGAGGTAGTGAGATCTGTTGGAAGTAGGAAAATGGGTTTATATATCTGTGGAATGACCAGGGTGGGGCAAAGGACTCTTGTCTGCTGGAGCTAGGTGTGAATGTTTCAACTGACCACCTTAATTAGCATTTGATGGCTTGGCAGTGCCTGGGGGAATCTTTTATTGAGAGGTGATTAGATGTGCCTGATTGTTTACTCTCTGTTGTTTTGCTGTTGTAATTTTGTAATCTAGAACATGGCCATATAGCCCGGAAAAACCTACAACAACCCTATATACAAGTTGTTTACGAGTAAACAAGAGATGTTATTTTCAAAGAAGACAACTTTGTTTTGTCTCTTGAGTGCATGTTTTAAACAAGAGGTTTTTAAGGGAGAATAGATGGGCAACTTGAACTTCAAAGAAACAAACATCCTCTGCTAACCAAATATAGATTTTCAGTGGCATGTCTTTATCCTTGGCAGTTTAAAGTCATGGTTCTTTGGTTTAACAGCTGAGTTACCTGTGTGCCATTACATAAAGGCTTATTTATTTATTTATTTATTTATCTGTCGTGTCAGAGCAACCAGTCAATTGTATTACATTTCTAACAGAACAAAACAAACGAACAGACAAAACACAAAATTTGCAAGCTTGGTAGTTGATTAAATGTCCTTTGACCAGTATCTGGCCACTTGGAGTGCCTCTGGTGTTGCCGCAAGAAGGTCCTCCCTTGTGCATGTGGCAGGGCTCAGGTAGCATTGCAGCAGGTGGTCAGTGGTTTGCTCTTCTCCACACTATGTTGTGGATTCCACTTTGTAGCCCCATTTCTTGAGGTTGGCTCTGCATCTCGTGGTGCCAGAGCGCAGTCTGTTCAGCGCCTTCCAAGTCGCCCAGTCTTCTGTGTGCCCAGGGGGGAGTCCCTCATTTGGTATCAGCCATTGGTTGAGGTTCTGGGTTTGAGCCTGCCACTTTTGGACTCTTGCTTGCTGAGGTGTTCCAGCGAGTGTCTCTGTAGATCTTAGAAAACTATTTCTTGATTTAAGTCGTTGACGTGCTGGCTGATACCCAAACAGAGGATGTGGAGATGTCTCTGCCTTGGTCCTTTCACTATTGGCTGCTACTTCCTGGCGGATGTCAGGTGGTGCAATACCGGCTAGACAGTGTAATTTCTCCAGTAGTGTAGGGCATAGACATCCTGTGATAATGCGGCATGTCTCATTAAGAGCCACATCCACTGTTTTAGCGTGGTGAGATGTGTTCCACACTTGGGCATGCATACTCAGCAGCAGAGTATCACAGCGCAAGGGAAGATGTCCTCACTGTGTCTGGTTGTGATCCCCAGGTTGTGCCAGTCAGCTTTCGTATGATATTGTTTCTAGCACCACTTTTTGCTTGGTATTCAGGCAGTGCTTCTTGTATGTCAGAGCATGATCCAGAGTCACTCCCAGGTATTTGGGTGCGTTGCAATGCTCCAGTGGGATTCCTTCCCAGGTAATCCTCAGAGCTCGGGATGCTTGTCTGTTCTTAAGGTGAAAGGCACATGTCTGTGTTTTAGATGGATTAGGGATCAGCTGGTTTTCCCTGTAATAGGCAGTAAGAGCACCTAGAGCTTCGGAGAGCTTCTGTTCTACCATCTCAAAGCTCCCTGCTTGAGCGTAATGGCACGGTCATCAGCATAGATGAAGCTCTCTGTCCCTTCTGGCAGTGGCTGGTCATTTGTGTAGATGTTGAACATGGATGGAGCAAGCACGCTCCCCTGAGGCAGGCTGTTCTTCTGTTTCCACCATCTGCTTCTCTGGCCCTGGAACTTAACAAAGAAGCTCCTGTTTTGTAGCAGGTTTCCTATGAGGCAGGTGAAGTAGTAATCCTTTGTGATATTATACATTTTTCTCAGGAGGAGGCGGTGGTTCATAGTATCATAAGCTGCGGACAGGTCTATGAAGACAGCTCCTGTGATCTGCTGCCTTTCAAAGCCATCTTCTATGTGGTGAGTCAGGTTCAGCACTTGCGATGTGCAGCTTTTGCCTTTCCTGAAGCCAGCTTGCTGTGGAATTAGACAGGGGTCTATTTTTTTCCATAATTCCAGAATTATGGAACCATCCTCTGCTAACCAAATATATTTTTGTAGTGGCATGCCTTTATCCTAGGCAGTTTAAAAACATGGTTCTTCGGTTTAACAGCTGAGTTACCTGTGTGCCATTACACGAAGGCTTAGGAATATCACTTGTTCAAAGAGCTGATCTCCAAGAAGGTCATGTTCTTCTTGATTAGTGGTTTTCAAAAGGTGGCCTCCACATGTTCATGGAGATTCACATTTGCCAAATGGATGTGACTTCATTTTTACCTTTCTCAATAAGGTTATGGTGCAGTTAATTCCAGTAGGTGAGGGAATTTCTAACAGATGTAGCTCCTTTGTTTCCTTCTCTTCCACGTTTCTTATACAACACAGAATGGCCATTGCCCAATCCACAGTTGAGCACTTCATGAGTCTGCATGTAGAATTGGGCAAGGAGCTTGCCCTGGGTTTCCTGGAACCCAACCGACACCTGAGAGTCTTGTGTCAAGAGGAAGCATCTTCCAACTGTGGGCAAGCTTCCTTCTCTGCTGGGTTTATAAGATCCCTGTCCGACTCAAGGGAGATGCTTGCTTCCCAAAAGGGCACCATGGAGTCCAAGCTCTTCCTCTTGGGTCTTCTTCTCCTCTGGGCTGGTTTGTCTCTTGCTCAGAAGGATGAGAAGAGAGGTGAGTCGGAGAACTCGGCTAAGGTCCAGGGAGGGAGGGACTCATCTGGTCAGCTGTCCAAACTGATTTGATCCAGGCTGCAAAGGTTTCATGGCAAATTCTTCTCCTTCCTTCTTCTAGATATCTGTCGCCTTCCTCCTGAAACAGGACCCTGCAAAAGCCACATTCCCCGGTTCTTCTTCAACCCGAACACAAGGAAGTGTGAGGTGTTCATTTATGGTGGATGTAGAGGAAATAAGAACAACTTTACGACCGAGAAGGAGTGTCTCCGGGCCTGCTCAGGTAGGTCGTGAGGGGCAGAAGGCAAAGTGTTGGTTTTGACCTACAAAGCCCTTTCTGGGTCTGATCCAAGCTGTCTAAAGGACCGTACCATTTTCTATGAACCTGGGAGACATCTCCCACAGCACCGAATTTGGATAAATAAAAAAAAAATGAACCCAGTAGACATGTATGATCAACTGGGGATGGGTGGTGAATGGGATTTGTTGGATACAGGAGGAAATGTTTGAATCAAATATAGGATGCATCTATGCTGTAGAATTAATGTGGTTTGACACCATCATGACTCAATGCTGTGGAATCCAGGAAGCTGTAATTTCATGAGGTCTTTACCTTTTTCTGCCAAAGGGTGATGGAATCTCATCAATGTATTTTTATATCTGTTTTATTATATGTTGTTTAACATCTACATGAAGCCGTTGGGAGAGATCATCCGGAGTTTTGGGGTGCGGTGTCATCTGTACGCAGATGATGTCCAACTCTATCACTCTTTTTCACCTGCCACTAAGGAGGCTGTTCAGGTCATGAACCGGTGCTTGGCCACTGTCTCGGACTGGATGAGGGACAACAGATTGAAACTAAATCCAGACAAGACAGAGGTACTCCTGGTCAGTCGTAAGACCAAACAGGGTACGGGGTTACAGCCTGTGCTGGATGGGGTCACACTCCCCCTAAAAGCACAGGTACGCAGTCTGGGAGTTCTCCTGGATTCATCGCTGAGCCTGGAACCCCAGGTTTCAGCGGTGGTCAGGGGAGCATTCGCACAATTAAAACTTGTGCGCCAGCTGCGTCTGTACCTTGGGAGGGCTGACTTGGCCACGGTAGTACACGCTTTGGTTACATCCCGCTTAGACTACTGCAACGCTCTCTACGTGGGGTTGCCTTTGAAGACTGCCCGGAAGCTGCAGCAAGTCCAACGCGCAGCAGCCAGATTACTAACGGGGGCTGGGTACAGGGAGCACACCACTCCGCTGTTACTCGAACTCCACTGGCTGCCGATTAGCTTCCGAGCACAATTCAAAGTGCTGGTGTTAACCTATAAAGCCCTAAATGACTCTGGCCCTGTTTACCTCTCCGAACGTATTCTCCCCTACGAACCATCAAGATCACTAAGATCGTCTGGAGGGGCCTTGCTCTCAGTCCCACCACCTGAACAAGCACGGCTGGTGGGGACGAGGGACAGGGCCTTCTCGATGGTGGCCCCTCGACTTTGGAACTCCCTGCCATTAGAGATCAGAACTGCCCCCTCCCTCATGACGTTCAGGAAACTAACAAAGACCTGGTTGTGGAACGCGGCATTTGACAACTGATTTAATTCTTTGCCCACATGAAAGGAGGATGATGAATGGGATTGTGATGGTGTTGGACGATTTGGCTCTTTTAACTGTGATGATAATGTTTTAATGTGTATGGTGCTGATATTTTAATCGTGTAATGAAGTGGCATTGTGTTGTTATTGTATATTCTTTGTATGTTAACACATGTTGTGAACCGGTCCGAATCCCTCTTTGAAGGTGAGAGGGTCGGTATATAAAACCTCGAAATAATAATAATAATAATAATAATAATTATAATAATTATAATATAGGTATTTATTTTTGTTTTATTTTGTTGTTGGCTTCGTGTTGTGCTGGTTGGTAAACCGCCTTGGGTCCCTCTATGGAGGTCGAGATAAGACAGGATACAAAGGCCCAAAATAAATAAATAATCAAACTACAATTCTCAGAATTCCATAGCATTGAGCTATGGGGCTCAAAGTAATTCTACAGTGTAGATACATCCATAGATAGGCATTTATCCAGATGTTGCTTCTCGTTTGTCTCTTATTCACATGGTCATTGGAAGGATACACTTGTTCATGTGGAAGTGGGAGTGATATCGAGCTGCTTTTAGTAGGGTCTCCTCAGCGGAGGGGATCCCCAAGGACCGCGTAAAAAGGGCCCCGAAACCTTGGTGAGGCCAGTGAAGCCAATTTCAGCAATTTAAAATATTAAAAATAATAATGCCCACCAAAGTGGAAGAAGTTTCTTTAAGCGACCGAAGTTTATTTGCGATTCAGCTGATATCGGATGCATTGCAGGAATCATTCCACTGCAAGCATGGTTGCTAGGATGGTTACAATCATTTTTATAGAGAAGACACAAAGAAAGCAATTCAAAACTCCCGCCCGCCCTCTGCCGGCTGGCTTCGCGCTGATTGGCTGGCTGCAGAACAGCTGGGAGGAGGCTGGGCGGCCCGCCCCTGCTCTGGACCAATCAGCGCGTTTCTTCGCCTCTAGAGGGCCAATGAGCGCCCTCCGCTCGCCTCGCAAGATGGACAAATCAGGAGAGAGGAGGCGGTGCGGCCGTGAACAATGGAGGGGGGAAATGATGGGATTAGGAGTTGCCAGCAAGCCTTTGTCTCAGGCCGGCAAGGTGTGATCTTTGTAAACAAAGGTCTTCCTGTCCTTGATGAGCTTTGAGGGGAAATATGAATGGCTATTTCGGCATCGGACCTCAGGGGGGATCAACGATGCCTTATGTAAATACAATCTTTTCATTCCGAGTGTCCATAAGTCCCCTGATCCCATCAGACATGCTCAGAGAATGGGCAGGGTCCATTATGGCTATGGTTCCATGCAGGGTGAATTAATCAAGGGTGAGTCTTGGGAGATAGAGAGATTCTCCCTTAGGCAGTTCCTGGTCACAGTATTTTGTGGGGCAGAGGTCAAGGGGGCGAGGGTACAGAGGAAGTTCATAAGGGTTACATACATCAAAATCATAGGTAATAGGCATCACTGATACAGAGTTAGTTCATAAGAGGAACCCCCATCCCACCCCATAAAGTTTATTTCAATATTTGATCTTTATTAAGGTCCAAACTGGAAATCCCATGCTCTTAGGAAGGGCGTGTGGAAGCAGAGGTTGCTAGCAGTTCAAATCAAGCATTGATAGAAAGTTCATGGCCAGGGTTGTGGCAAACAGTCCAGTCCACGCAGCAGAGAGTCATGGTTTCAGGCTGGAATCAGCAGATGGGTGCTGAGCTGATCAATAACAGAATCCATCGCTCAGCCCTTGGGGAACTACAACTCTCACAAAAGGGCAGAAGTCCCAAGATCCAGCCATTTCCCAAAAAGCCTCGTGGGGTCCTTGTTGTTGTCAGTGCCTTGGCAATGTGGCCAAGACTTAACCCTTGTTGTGTAGTCTGGTGACCTTGCCCTTTGCAGAACTATAAGTCCTTATCCCTTAATTCTGAGGGGGGGGGGGTGCCTGACATCAGGAGGAAGGAGGCAATGGAGTTGTTCTAAAGCTTGGTTGGATTAGTTTGACAAGGAGAAGGGCGGGAGAAAGGAACCCTCTTCAGATACAACCAAGAATTGTTTCTTAGGTGAACATCTCCTCCTGCTATTTTGAAAGTCCCTCATCAATATGAACTTTGTTCCCCATGCGATTATTCTGCAGAGTATGGGGGGGGGGGGGAATCACCACACCCTTAAGCCATGAATCTTCAGGAGATGATAGGGCTTCACCAGGGTTGAAGGCAGAATTTGAGTCCAATATAGATAGACATTCATCCAGATGCATTCTCTGATCTACAAAAAGCACTGCCTGAATATCAAGCAAAAAGTGGGTGCTAGAAACAATATCATACGAAAGCTGACTGGCACAACCTGGGGATCACAACCAGACACAGTGAAGACATCTGCCCTTGCGCTATGCTACTCTGCTGCTGAGTATGCATGCCCAGTGTGGAACACATCTCACCACGCTAAAACAGTGGATGTGGCTCGTAATGAGGCATGCCGCATTATCACGGGATGTCTGCACCCTACACCACTGGAGAAATTACTCTATTTAGCCAGTATTGCACCACCTGACATCCACTGGAAAGTAGCAGCCAATAGTGAAAGGACAAAGGCAGTGACATCTCCAGTTCATCCCCTGTTTGGGTATCAGCCAATGACTTAAATCAAGAAATAGTTTTCTAAGATCTACAGAGACACTTGCTGGAGCACCCCAGCAAGCGAGAGTCCAAAAGTGGCAGGCTCAAACCCAGAACCTCGATCAATGGCTGATACATTTAATCAACTACCAAGCTTGCAAACTTTGTGTTGTTTTTTTATCTGTTTGTTTGTTTTGTTCTGTTAGAAATGTAATACAATAGTCTGGTTGCCCCTGACACGATAAATAAAAAACTTGGAACTGTTCAACAATGTGAAGTGGCGGCAAAAAAAGCCAATGGGATTTTGGCCTGCATCAATAGGAGCATAGTGTCTAGATCTAGGGAAGTAATGCTACCCCTCTATTCTGCGTTGGTTAGACCACATCTGGAATATTGTGTCCAATTCTGGGCACCACAATTCAAGAGAGATATTGACAAGCTGGAATGTGTCCAGAGGAGGGCGACTAAAATGATCAAGGGTCTGGAGAACAAGCCCTATGAGGAGCGGCTTAAGGAGCTGTGCATGTTTAGCCTGAAGAAGAGAAGGCTGAGAGGAGATATGATAGCCATGTATAAATATGTGAGAGGAAGCCACAGGGAGGAGGGAGCAAGCTTGTTTTCTGCTTCCCTGGAGACTAGGACGCGGAACAATGGCTTCAAACTACAAGCGAGGAGATTCCATCTGAACATGAGGAAGAACTTCCTGACTGTGAGAGCCGTTCAGCAGTGGAACTCTCTGCCCCGGAGTGTGGTGGAGGCTCCTTCTTTGGAAGCTTTGAAGCAGAAGCTGGATGGCCATCTGTCAGGGGTGATTTGAATGCAATATTCCTGCTTCTTGGCAGAATGGGGTTGGACTGGATGGCCCATGAGGTCTCTTCCAACTCTTTGATTCTATGATTCTATGATTCTATGTTCATATGTTCATGGCCAAAACAGGAACAGGTTCAGGTGGAAGTGAGGGGCAGAATGGGGTGGTCCTATGGCTCATTTGGACTAGTTTGACAGAGAGAATGTTTGGAGGAAGAACCCCTTATCAGATACAATTCCCAGGCTCAGGCAGGCCTTCAAATGCTAATGAAGGTGATCAACTGAAACATTCACACCTAACTGCAGCAGGGAAGAGCTCCTTGCCCCACCCCAGCCATTCCACAGATATATAAACCCATTGTCCTAATTCCAACAGACCTCACTACCTCTGAGGATGCTTGCCATAGAAGCAGGCGAAACGTCAGGAGAAATGCCTCTAGAACATGGCCTATAGCCCGAAAAAACCCACAAGAACCTAGTGATTCCAGCCATGAAAGCCTTCGACAATACAGATACAATTTGCTTTTCAGATACCTATTGCTTCCCCCTATCTTTCCTTCTTTGTGGGTTTCAGTCCCAGAAAAAGAAAACTGGAACCAATGAAGACCAAGGAGGAAGAGGAGGGTGGAACTGGAAACTGGATTGGGTTAGGGGGAAAGTCTGTGACATCTAAACCAGGTTTCCATCTCTTTGGGGAAGATAAAAATAGCAAACATTGTGTGTCTCTTTGGCTACCTTCATCCTCTGACTTCTGATCCCATTTCCTTTCACAGTCCGACCTTGAAGGAGCCTGGGATCCATGGACAGCAACCACTGAAGACTTCTGACCGAAGACCAAATCCGGCTCTGCACAATCTCCACTTGCTCTGTTGATGAGGGTTCCAGTTCTGATTTGCCCAGACCATTCTCTCCCTTGACAATAAATGTATCAATACTCAATACCCCAAGAGTTTGAACTCCTTTTTGGCTTATAGCAGGGGGAGGTTGTCTTCATTTCCTGATGTTCTCCAAGGTCTTTTTCTTATGGAAGATCTCCTCAACATTGGTTTGGAAAGCCACATACACATTCATTGCTCTAGGAAATTATTAAATGACCTTTCTGATAAGGCATTAGAAACCACATTTGATAAAGCCACATACACATTCATTGCTCTAGGAAATTATTAAATGACCTTTCTGATAAGGCATTAGAAACCACATTTGATTGCTAGGGATGAGCTCACTCTTGGCCTTGCTATCTTTGGAAGACATGAAAGTGGGAAATGAGAAAACTAGGTTTGGGCCACAGAACTCATAGAATCCTAGAATCAAAGAGTTGGAAGAGACCTCATGGGCCATCCAGTCCAACCCCATTCTGCCAAGAAGCAGGAATATTGCATTCAAATCACCCTGACAGATGGCCATCCAGCCTCTGTTTAAAAGCTTCCAAAGAAGGAGCCTCCACCACACTCCGGGGCAGAGAGTTCCACTGCTGAATGGCTCTCACAGTCAGGAAGTTCTTCCTCATGTTCAGATGGAATCTCCTTTCTTGTAGTTTGAAGCCATTGTTCCGCGTCCTAGTCTCCAGGGAAGCAGAAAACAAGCTTGCTCCCTCCTCCCTGTGGCTTCCTCTCACATATTTATACATGGCTATCATATCTTCTCTCAGCCTTCTCTTCTTCAGGCTAAACATGCCCAGCTCCTTAAGCCGCTCCTCATAGGGCTTGTTCTCCAGACCTTTTATCATTTTAGTCGCTCCTCTGGACACATTCCAGCTTGTCAATATCTCTCTTGAATTGTGGTGCCCAGAATTGGACACAATATTCCAGGTGTGGTCTAACCAAGGCAGAATAGAGGGGTAGCATTACTTCCCTAGATCTAGACACTATGCTCCTATTGATGCAGGCCAAAATCCCATTGGTTTTTTTTTGCCGCCACATCACATTGTTGGCTCATGTTTAACTTGTTGTCCACGAGGACTCCAAGATCTTTTTCACACGTACTGCTCTCAAGCCAAGCATTGTCCCCCATTCTGTATCTTTGCATTTCGTGCAAAGTTGTTGAATGAATGAGGAGCCCCCGGTGGTACAGTGGGTTAAAGCCCTGTGCCGGCAGGACTGAAGACCGACAGGTCGCAGGTTCGAATCCGGGGAGAGGCGGATGAGCTCCCTCTATCAGCTCCAGCTCCTCATGCGGGGACATGAGAGAAGCCTCCCACAAGGATGATAAAACATCAAAAATCATCCAGGCGTCCCCTGGGCAACGTCCTTGCAGACGGCCAATTCTCTCACAACAGGAGCGGTTGCTCCTGACACGACAAAAAAAATAATAATTGTTGGAATGCAGCTTTTGCCGAGGTGCTTGCCATTCCCTGAAGTAAAATTTCAGAGAATTCATCTCACCATCATGCCCCCTTTGATTTTTTTTTTTGTGCTCCTCATTAGGCAGGACGTCATGGTTCCTTTAACACTCACTGGTTGTTTCGTCAGTATTTGTCCCCCAACAAGACCATTTCCCAGGGCAGGCTCTGTGCAATGTTCCATGCTCAGATTCCACCAGTTTGGTTGCCAAGATCCTTCTGGAAGTGGATATAAAGGAGGCAGGAGCTGGATCTCCACTCACTTCTTCCTCTCCGTGAAGCCATGAATCCCTCAGGTGGCCTCACTTTCCTCCTTGCTCTCCTGGCCTCTGTCCTGCATCTCCCGTCTCGAAAGGTAAGTGGTATCTTGAAGGCACCTGTGACCCCATTCCAGATAAGGCATTCTTCTTCCATATGACCCTTCAGATTCATCCAGATGTAGAAATCAGACTAGAATATTGTAGAAAAGAAGGCGGTCTGGGAGGTGATCAACCCAGAAGTATTTAGAGCAGTGCTTCTCAATCTGGGGTCCCCAGATGTTTTTGGCCTACAACTCCCAGAAATCCCAGCCAGTTTACCAGCTGTTAGGATTTCTGGGAGTTGAAGGCCAAAAACAACTGTTGAGAACCACTGGCTTAGAGAGCCCAGTCAAGAGACCCTATTAGTCACTCCTATTGTTGTCTCCTGGATGTGAGAAACAGCCAATCTGGTTCATGACGCAACCCCACCCCTGATATCCCATTATGGCTCTCATGCGGGCACAGAAACAAAAGGTCCATATCACCAAAGAACAAAGCTGGGTGGGAAGATATTGATGGAAGAACTGGGACAAGCCAAAGGAGCCAAACCATAAGATCTTGTGTACCCTCAACATAACAGATCTTCTGGGAAGGGGAAGAGCAGACATTAAAGCCCCTGTGCCGACCTCCCATGCCCATCCTGGAAATGCCAGGAGTCTCTGGGCTGTTGGAAGGAGCAAGAGCATCTGCGTGATGCATCCTCCAGGTTTCGGGTTTGCTCTTTCTTCCAGAAAAGCGAGGATTATGTCCACGTTCACCTGTCTCCCGAAGGACTCGATGCGGCTTACATAGGCCAAGGCCTCAAAACACAACACAACAATACAACACCGCAATGAGTCGCCCTTAAAGGGCTGAGAATTGCGGTATATAAGCGCAGTAAATAAATAAATAAACACCTAAAGCAAATTAAAAACAGTAAAAGCAATATTAACAACAAGCAATAAACAATACATCAAGACACTATAAAACGGCCGGGCCAGAGTAATGGGTACAAGGATTAAAAGTGCTGATGTGACAGGTGATATGTAAGGATTATAAGGTAGGTGCAGTGTGCAGTGTGCAGCAGTCTAGTTCTAATAAAGTGCTTCTGGGACTTGGTATTGGAGATTCCTAATCTGGGAAGGCACATCGGAACAGCCAGGTCTTCAAGTTCTTTCTAAAGACTACCAATGTAGGGGCTTGTCTAAGATCTTTGAGGAGGAAGAGAAAGAGAAAAAATAGGACACGTGCAAAGAAGCCAGAATGGATGTCCAAAGAACTTCTAACTGTGCTAAGACACAAAAGAGACATGCACAAGAAGTGGAAAAAGGGAGAAATCACCAAAGAAGAATTCAAACAAATAGCCAACACCTGTAGGGAAAAGGTCCGCAAGGCTAAAGCAAAAAATGAGCTCAGGCTTGCCAGGGACATTAAAAACAATAAAAAGGGCTTCTTTTTATATGTCAGTAGAAAAAGGAAAAACAAGGAGGCGATAGGACCTCTTTGAGGAGAAGATGGGGCAATGCTGACAGGGGATAGGGAAAAGGCAGAACTACTTAATGCCTTCTTTGCCTCGGTCTTCTCACAAAAAGAAAGTCATCTTCAACCTCAGCAAGACGGAGTGGATGAGGGATTTGAGGACATCCAACCCCAAATTGGGAAACAAGTCGTCCAGGAATACCTGGCCGCTCTAAATGAGTTCAAGTCCCCTTTCAGGACCAGATCAACTACACCCAAGAGTACTGAAGGAACTAGCGGAAGTCATTTCGGAACCATTGGCAACCATCTTTGAGAGTTCTTGGAGAACGGGAGAAGTTCCAGCAGATTGGAGGAGGGCCAATGTGGTCCCAATCTTCAAGAAGGAAAAAAGGATGACCCAAACAACTACCGTCCGGTCAGCCTCACGTCGATACCGGGCAAGATTCTGGAAAAAAATGTTAAGGAAGCGGTCTGCAAACACTTAGAAACAAATGCGGTCATCGCTAATAGTCAACGTGGATTTATCAAAAACAAGTCATGCCAGACTAATCTGATCTCTTTTTTCAATAGAGTTACAAGCTGGGTAGATGTGGGGAATGCCGTGGATGGAGCGTACCTGGATTTGAGGAAGGCCTTCTTTGACAAGGTCCCCCACGACCTTCTGGCAAAGAAACTAGTCCAATGTGGGCTAGGCAAAACTACGGTGAGGTGGATCTGTAATTGGTTAAATGGACGAACCCAGAGGGTGCTCACCAATGCTTCCTCTTCATCCTGGAAAGAAGTGACAAGTGGAGTGCCTCAGGGTTCCGTCCTGGGCCCGGTCCTGTTCAACATCTTTATTAATGACTTAGATGAAGGGCTAGAAGGCATGATCATCAAGTTTGCAGACACCAAGAATGGGAGGGATAGCCAATACTCCAGAGGACAGGAGCAGAATTCAAAACGATCTTGACAGATTAGAGAGATGGGCCAAAACTAACAAAATGAAGTTCAACAGTGACAAATGCAAGATACTCCACTTAGGCAGAAAAAATGAAATGCAAAGATACAGAATGGGAGAAGCCTGGCTCGAGAGCAGTACGTGTGAAAAAGATCTTGGAGTCCTCGTGGACAACAAGTTAAACATGAGCCAACAATGTGATGTGGCGGCAAAAAAAGCCAATGGGATTTTGGCCTGCATCAAGAGGAGCATAGTGTCTAGATCTAGGGAAGTCATGCTACCCCTCTATTCTGCTTTGGTTAGACCACACCTGGAATATTGTGTCCAATTCTGGGCACCACAATTCAAGAGAGATTGACTCTAAGCTGGAATGTGTCCAGAGGAGGGCGACTAAAATGATCAAGGGTCTGGAGAACAAGCCCTATGAGGAGCGGCTTAAGGAGCTGGGCATGTTTAGCCTGAAGAAGAGAAGGCTGAGAGGAGATATGATAGTCATGTATAAATATGTGAGAGGAAGCCACAGGGAGGAGGGAGCAAGCTTGTTTTCTGCTTCCTTGGAGACTAGGATGCGGAACAATGGCTTCAAACTACAAGAGAGGAGATTCCATCTGAACACGAGGAAGAACTTCCTGACTGTGAGAGCTGTTCAGCAGTGGAACTCTCTGCCCCGGAGTGTGGTGGAGGCTCCTTCTTTGGAAGCTTTTAAACAGAGGCTGGATGGCCATCTGTCAGGGGTGCTTTGAATGCAATATTCCTGCTTCTTGGCAGAATGGGCTTGGACTGGATGATGGCCCAGGAGGTCTCTTCCAACTCTTTGATTCTATGATTCTATGAAATTGCTGGTTTTGTTTGCTTTTACCCAAAAAGCCCCCTTTTCAAAGCCTCCTTCAATACTGTATATATATGTGTGTTAGTTTTGTGTTA